GGCACGTTGGATTTAAAGAGTTGAGATATTCTGGCAGAATTGCTTCATGTATATCCTCCTTATCTCCAGTCGTTTCAACAGTGTCCACACTTGTATAAACCCTCTCTGTCGTATCATCTAATAATCTTATTACTTTATTATTTATCTCATCAACGTCGACATTCCTTGCAGATAATATAACATAATTAGCCATAATTTTATATCGCTTATGTGTTATAATATCTCCATACATGTCTTTTATTATATCCGAATTAATGTTTGCTATACATCTTTCTGGAATTTCAATATTATCCGAATTATCATTTAAAGAACCATTACCTAAATTTAGTAAAAATTGTGCAAATTCTTTTTCTTGTGATAAAGTTCTCATATTTTGTGTCAGTGAAAATATTTTAAATTGTTTCCATAAAGAACTAAATTTTATCGATAAATTTATAATTTCACAACGCGTAGCTCTTTCTTTTACAGGTAATAATTGTCTAAAATCTCCACCGAGAAGAACAATTTTTCCACCAAAATATAAATTATTTTGCATGATATCACGTAATACTCGATCCATTATTTCTAGCACGTAACGTGGTGCCATAGGTGCTTCATCCATAATAAAGACATCTACAAGTTTTAAATTGTTAGCTTCTTTTGATTGTACTTTAATATTTGATGTAGAATCAGTGAAAAGAGGTACAGGTAATCCTAAAACTTTGTGTGTTGTTCTTCCATTTGGAAGTAATGTTGCAGCAATACCAGTAAATGCCATAGTACTTACTATTTTTCCTTTACTTTTAAGTAAATAATATAATGTTGTATAAATAAAAGTTTTACCAGAACCACCTGGACCATCGATATAAAAACAACTGTCGTTACTATTGTTACTTGCTGTTGCTAATAAAATAGTATCAACAATCACTTTTTGTTCTATATTTAATTGTCCATATTGCCGCATTCCTATAGTTGTATCTTCTTGAATTTGTTCTTCATCATTTATTTCTTGAGTCTCACTTATTTGTTCCATTTCAGGAAAGTTAGCAATATTTGATCCTTCCATTTGAAGTACATTGACAATGTAATTATAAACCTTCTTTATTCCCAATGCAGATCCATATCGTCTTATATAATGTTCCGACATATCCATTTTGAACTCATCCCACAACTTTTTCGGATGAAGTGGTTGACAATGAATTAAAATTCGTACGAACAAATTACGAAGTCGTCTTGGCATCATCCAAACTTTTCCTTCATTCATCGCACGATACCATTCCTCGTCATCTTCTATAAGTCCTAATGCTAAACATGCGGCGGTGAAAGTTTGATGTACTTCATTATTAACTGTTCTTAATTCTTCAAAACTTGTGGCTCCTTTAACATGTAGTAAAACTATACGTAAATGAAATAATTCCATTTGAGACGGGCTAACAGAATACATACGACCGATACAATTAAAATATCTTTGACGTTTTTCCCAGCGATTAATAGTTTTGCCGTTAATTGTAATCTTTTTAAAAACATAGTATGATGGAATATCACTGTATAAGTATTGTTTCGCTTCCTCATCTCGAGCATTTAATTTAAAATAATCTAACAACATTGTCACTCGTTCTATGGCAGATCTTATTGCATCATTGTTAATATTATCATCGATTATTACACTATGTTCGTTTGGTAAATGGACTGGTAAACGAAATATAGAATGACTTTTTTCTTGTAAAGATTTACTTAAAATTCGCCAACATGCTTCCACAGGCCCCACGTAACGAGCTTCAATAAAATCTTGAATTTCGTCATGAATTATAGTTTTGTCTAAATTTTCTCCAATGATTACAGACGCAGCATCATGACCTTTATAAATATATTTATACAAGTATTTTACAGATCGTATACTCGAAACTATTTCAACGTTAATATGGCTATTAAATAAAAGTAAAAGCATTGGATTATATGGAACAGTATATCTATTATCAACAACGTATCGTCCAGGCCTTTCGTACAATAAATCATTATTTCTTCGACGATATTGTGGATAGCCATCTTCATTCATAGTCGTCTCAGGTTGAAATGATTTTGGAAAATGTTTGGAACATTTATCGTTCACCAGACACCAATTTCCACATGGTCCATGAATCATATGCTTCATTACAACATTATGTAAACTTTCATTTTCATTAGGATCAGGAATTTCTGCGGAAATAAATTTATCAACCGTTTCGGAATTTGTTATTTTACAATTCTGTTTTAATGTAATCAACAAATGTATATGCGGTAATCCACGTTTTTGAAATTCTATTACATAAACGTATGCGAGAACTTCTCCAAAAAATTTTTGTCTAACAATAACATCAATTAAATAATCCTTTTTTATATTAAATACACGAGCACATATATCTGGTCTATCTGCAGGTTGTTGATTTGGAAGTAAATTCTCTTTAATTTCACGCCAATTTGGATTACAAGTCATAGTAACAAAGATATCTGGTTTTCCATATTTACGCACAATAGCCATTGCATCTTGATAATGTTGTAACATATTACGCGGTGAACCCACGAACGTTGATGGAAGTATAATCATTTTTCCAATGTGAGCTTCGTTATTATTGGCGGCGTTTGTCAAATAATCAATTAGTCCTTGATAAGTCTCAGCTCGTAGTTGTTTTTGATTTTGTTTACAATAATTAATTCGATCTTTTTCAATTTTAACATAATTATCTACAAGCCATTGCTGAAATAATCGTCTTCCCATGATAAAAATATTAAAATTATCACGTACAGCTATCCGATATTTTACATAAGCAGCTCTACTTATTCGTTTATTACTATTTTTG